AGCTCGGTTGAAATGGAAGCTGCAGAAAGAAACCCCAAACCCTAATAAAACCTTAAAGACACCTCTTGGTGGCATGCCTGACTTGCCAGGCGAGGTCTATACCAGAGTTCTCCGATGCTTGGAGGAAGTCGGATACACAGCCGGAGACTTGGGAATTCCTCAATCCCTTTGTGGCTTCGGGCTGAGGGATTCTATTTTCAAACCTTTTGAGGACGTAGGTGCTTTTCTACATGTCGCAAATCACGCGGACCTTGTACTCCGTTCCGCCTTTGCCTTCTGTGCTGCTGCAGCTGGTCTTGTACAAAGCCAGAAACCCCAAGAAACCACAACCCTCAGAAACCTTGAGGGCTTGGGGCTTCTAAACCCTAAACCCTAAACCCTAAACCCTAAACCCTAAATAGGGTATATGGATCCCCAAGAAGCTTGACTCCTTGCTACACCCCAAGGTCCAGACCGCGCAGCTGAATTCCGAGGGTTGGGTACCGCAGAAGCGCGCCCGCCTTTACTTCGTGGGGATCAGGCACATGGGTGGTTCTCTAAATTAGGGCCCCCTTTTTGGTCCCCAGTGTAGTACGGCACCCTTATACAGAGGACCCCAAAAAAGGACCCTAATTTAGAGAACTACCCACATACACAGGTTGCACATTTTCCTTTCTTCTCTGTTGCCCAGAGCTAGTGGAGTCGTACGATGTTCATAAGTGTACTTGCACTGGCTGTCATCATAGACTGGTTAGACTACCAGAAAAAGGCTGTTTTGGTGCTTTCCTGGTCTATCTTTTGAATTATTGTTATTGTTGTTGTTACTGTTCCTGCTAATGCTACTGCTAGTGCTAGTGATAGTGTTAGTGTGCGCTTAGTAGCACCAGCACCAGCAACAGCTCCAGCGCCAGCACTAGCACCAGCACTAGCACCAGCGCTAGCACCAGCACTTGCACCAGTACTACTACTACTACTACTACTACTACTACGACGACGACGACGACGACGACGACGACGACGACTGCAACTACAAGTACAACTACAACTACAACCACCACTACTATTACCACTCCTTGTTATTCTTATTATTACTAACACTTATTTTTTGTAATTATGATTATTCTTATAAGTATTTTCACTATCATCCTACTACTATTATGATGAACCATCATTATTGCGGTTAGCACGGTTCTCAATACTACAATCTGTACTCTTTCTATTGTCATTCATTGTTCTTACTATTGCTATCATTACTATTATCATATTGGTAGTGCGTGATTATCTCTAATGTTATTCTTGGTGATTATTCCTATTTTGCATGTTTTGGGTTAGTATAGTCAGCACCGCTATGATCATTATTATTGTTGCTATTACTGTTGTTACTACTATTGCTATTACTAGTAATCGTACTAGTACTAGTACTATTATCACTGTTAGTGAAGATTTTTATTTTAACGTATTTTAGTATTACTATTGTTGCTAGTATCATGTTATGAGTATCATGCGTACTATGATTGTGATGAAGACTTTTTGGTTATTGTGGCACCATTACCAATCCCCGGTTGCCAGCAGGAGCGACATCAAGGATGTCTTTGCCCGTTTCTGCTGGCCGACTGGCCCTTCTCAGCGCAAGCTTCAGGACTTCTGGCCCTAAATCCCCAACCCTAAACCCTAAACCCTAAACCCCCCTAAAGGGGTTGCAGGCTTTCCGGGCTGGATTTGGAGTTGACATTCCGGGTCTAGAGCCCCCCGAACCCCTAAAGCCCGACGAGGATCCCCACAAGAGACCTAGACCCAAGTCCTCAAACTTAGAACCCAGCATCCCAAGAAGCCAACAAAGAAATCGTGACCCTGACCCCCAAGCCCTAAAAATCCCCCAAAACCCAAAGCCCCAAAATCCCAAACCCCAAACGGCAAAGCTTCAAGCCTGCACCCTAAACCCTAAACCCTAAACCCTAAACCCTAAAACAGGAGGTGCTCGAGCCTGATGGAAGCTTAGAGGTGATCCGAAGCGAGCTTTCTGAGTCCCAGTGGACAGCGGCTTGGTTCTTGGTTTTGTGGAGGGTTGCAGGGTTTAGGGTTTAGG